ACAGAAATCATTACAAGAATATTCTCACTAGGAGATTCAGCTTGCAAATGGGTCATTAGAACAACAGCAAGACAGACTGGTGTCCATTACTGACAGGCCCAGAAGAATAGTGACAAAGTATCCAGCAATGGACCAGAGCATTAAGACTGAGGGGTAGCCTGTGCCCGAGAAAGCACACAGCTCAAGGGAGCACAGAGGCTCACAGACAACAAGCACCTGCTAAGTACCGATGTTCTACTGATGTCTGGTTTCTTGACTTTGTCTCTATAATCAATGGACTCTGACTCTGCTCTAAAACTTGGGGTTCTTCCTATTGTTATTATTTGATAAAAGCACCTTTCTGCTTTCGATTTGTGATGTCACTGTGTTCATCTGTCCATTACACAAAAGCCTTTTGGAGTTAGCAGCTAACTGTTATTGATAATACATAAATGGGGAATATCACATATGTTTTGCTTTTGAAAGGCTGCAGTAGATTGGAGGAAAGCTATACAAAAAGCTTACAGCATCATCATAGTCATGCATTGTGTTGGTTCCCAGTATGTATATCAAGCAGCTCATAACCACCTGTTGCTCCAGTTCCAGGGGATCTGACACCTTTTTCTGGCTTCCTTAGGTACCCAAGAAAAGATAAGCACACACCCAGACACACAAACACACACACAAATATATAGACACACACACATATATGTGTGTGTGTGTGTTATATTGTGTTTTATATATATAAAAAAAACAAAAATAAATCATTTAAAAAATTTATAGGGGCTGGAGAAGTTGCTCAGCAGTTAAGAAAACTTGCTGCTCTTCCAGAGGACCTGGGTTTAATTACTGGCACCCACAGGACAACTCACAACCATCTGTTACTCCAGTTGCAGGGGACCTTATGTCCTCTTCTGACCTCCACTGGCAGTGCACACACATGGTGCATGGGCATATATGCAGGCAAGACATTCATACACACATTTTTTTTTAATTTAATGATTTACACTTTGCTTGTTTAACTGGAAACACTTCAAGCATAGGTCCTTCTCTGTGTACTCAGAATGAAGCACAGGCTTTGACAAAGTTGTTTAACAGGAAGGCAATAGTAAGTATTTGGGACTACATAGGAAATCTAGTACTGTCCCAAGGAGTTCTGGTTCCAACATGATAAGAACTTGGGTGCTATATGTAAAGCCATGTACTCAAAGGGTGGCCCACAGCACTAGCACCCTGGAACTTGAGAGAAGTTCAAAATCTTCATGCTCACTCCAGACTCTGTGTTTTAAAACCATCCTCAGGTAAGTTGTGGGCACATCCAAGCCTAAATGGTGACTAATATACTGAAAGACTCTCTTGGCACTTGCGAAGATCAACAGAGACAAGACAGCATCATTGAAAGGTGATCTACATTTTTAAAAATTAACTTTATTTTTAAAGTTTTGTATAATGTACAGAAAAGTTATAGATGATGCAAAGAATTTTTATACTATTATAAAAATACACCATGACGTGAGGATTTTAAAATACATGCTTATTTTCTTTTTTAGGCAAGTTTTTTTGGTGTGTGTGTGTGTGTGTGTGTGTGTGTGTGTGTGTGTGTGTGTGTGCACATGTAGGTTTGTGTGTGTGCAAGGATATGCATGGGTATAAGCATATGTTCATGTGAATATGAGGCAAAATTCCCCCTAGATGGACTCCCTCAGGGCACCTTCACTGACTGTGTTGTTGTTTGTTTATTTTTGTTTGTTTGTTTTGAGAAAGGTTCTCTTACTTCTACCTAGAACTCACTGATTTAGCTAAACTCACTGAGCAGTGAGCCCCATGGACCTATCTATGTCTGCTTCCCAAATGCTGGTATTACAATTGCATACCCCCACACTCATAAACCAGGCTTCTTTTTAAAACAGGTTTATTAAGGGATGCATCCTTTGTAAATGCACTGGTTAATGAGCTTGAGAAAAAGACATGAATCCATTTAACAATACAAAATCTAAAATAGTTTGATCACCTCAGAGTGCTTCTTAGTGTGATTCTGCTGCCTGTACCATCCCACTGAACTACTTAATGTTAATTACTAGTTGTCCTGTATCTGAAGTTATGCTTTTTCCAGGTCATATAAATAAATTATATAATATGCATAGTCTTTTGTGTCTCCTTCCTGTCACTCCATATAATGATCCTTTTGAGTTTGTTGCAGATGTTGGGCATTTATACTTTCTTACTGCTAAGCAACATCCCATGACATGGATGCACCACTGCCTTAGTTAGGGTTTCTTCTGCTGTGAAGAAACACCATGACCATGGCAACTCTTATAAAGAAAAACATTTAATTGTGGCTTGCTTACAGTTTAGAGGATTAGTCCATTATCATCATGGTGGGAAGCATTGCAGCACACAGGCAGACATGGTGCTCTAGAAGTAGCTGAGAGTTCTACATCCTGATGTCAGGCAGCAGGAAGAGAGACACTGGGTCTAGCTCAAGCATCTGTAACCTAAAAGCCCACCCAGTGACATACTTCCTCCAACAAGAACACACCTACTTCAATGAGGGCATACCTACCAATAGTGACACTCTTTATGAGTTTATGGGGGCCATTATCATTCCAACCACCACAACCACTATTTCTTTAGGGACTCATCACACAATGAACACTTAGGCTGTTTCCAGATTTGAACCATGATGAACAAAGCTGCTTTAAATATCCATGTATAGGTAGGTATTTTGTGGATATATAGCTTTTTCATCTTAAATAAATATCTAAGAGTATAAGTTTCTAGGTCATAGGGTAAATGTATGCTTAACTTCATAAGAAGTATTAAAAAATAAATAAATAAATAAATAAATAAATAAATAAATAAATAAATAAATAAATAAATAAAAACTTTTCCAAGGTGGCTCTCTGAGAATCACAGTTGATGAAACGGAATTTGGTTTTTTATGAGGAACTTTCCGCATAAACAAAGGCATTGAGGCCTCAGAGCTTTACAAAACATGATAGCCCCAAATACATTGAGACCTCACTGTAGCCTCAAAAGAGAGGGAATATTTCAGTAGGGATAGAAGGTAGGGTGGTAGAAGAGCAAGCAGAGCTAGGGCAAGATGACCATGCTGGATAACTATAACCTCCCTCAAGTCCTTCCTCCCGAGCTCACTCACATGCTCTGCATGCTCAGGATTGATAGATCAAAATAACCATCTGGTTAATTTCTTTTCATCTTACAGTGCTTTTCTCATTGTGTAAATTAAATAGAAAACACCATATTCCTAACAATGATGGAAAATGTCTACTGCCATGCCCACACTAACTTCTATAGGTCAGTAAGAATTCGTATTCATAGAGAAAAAAAAAAAGCTGTTAACTTAGAATGAGTCTTCAAAGAGCTCTGCCTTCAAAGGCCTGGCCAACAGGATGCAGGAATCCAGCCTGACTCATCTTTTGATTACCAAGGAAATATCAATCTCAAAATCATTGCCTATTCTTACATACCCACATGGCCTCTGTAAATATAGTTTAAAAATAGAAGAAATCTCAAAATAATTTCCCTTCCTCTAAAAGCATTCATAGGGTTCTGTGCTCTCTTTATTGTAGGCTTTGTCTCCAAAATGTCACAATGTCCTCTGGTGGCAAGGAAACTAATAGTCTCCAAGTTCTTTCACAAGTCGAGCCTATGTTGACATATTCTGGCTTCTAGTTTCATGCCTAATGATGGTGTTAGTTCAAGCAGGACAAGTCAGCTTCTCAGAACCTGGTAGGACATCATATTCTCTCCCTTCTTCTAGTTTATAAAATCAGTACCACATGCTAAGACCCTGACATTTCCTCCAGCATTCTGTCTGTGTTTTATCTCGTCAAAGGAGGAGGCCTGGCATTCCTGGAGCCTTGGCATTTAACAAATAGCCACTCCTCCTCCAGGAATGTCGGTGTGGATGAAACTGAATCTAAGACAAGGACTTTGGGAGCTTTTTATTTAAATTCAGGTGCCTTAACAAAGACAGATATGAACTGATCATCTCAATCTTTCTCATTCCCACATTCCCTATACCCATTTACAGAAATCCTTAGTAATAACCAATTTTTTTTTCCTTCAGTTATCATGAAACATCACATTAAGTCATGCTTTGGTTGTGCCTCATGGATTTCCTATAAATCCTTAAGTAGGGGTATGGCTCTAACCAACGTGGTCAACAAAAACATAATGTTCAACATCTGGTGAAAGCCAGTTATCACCCAAGGATTTTAGGTTCCAAGGTAAGAACCTCCATGCTGTATTAAAAGGGTATTCGTAGCCTACTGGTAGGACTCTATGCTTGTGAGAACTCCAAAATTGATAACTCTACTCTGGGCCCAGTGAATAGCAATAAGGATTTTAACAAGATCTCCAGGTAACATTTACATAGTCTATATTAAAACAGAAACCTGAGGCTAGGCTGGAAACTCAGCTTAGCTGTGATGCTTGCAAACATTACCACAAGCTATATTTTAACTTCTCTAAGACATATCCTCTTTACCTATCCACTGGGGATAGCTATTCCTGAACAAAAATTATTGTGGAAAGTCAATGAGGTGTCAGAAGTACAAGCACTGATTACACAGCATCAAATGTGAATCTATTAAGCAGTAATGATACATTAGGCTCCATTCTTCTTTGAGGATGATATATTGAGGTTCAATGCTGATTCAGGAATAATATACTAGGGTTCCATATTGTTTTAGTGATGATATACAGGGGCTTATGTTGCTTTGGAGTGATGTTGAATGGCATAGCACATAAAGTCATGACAATTTGCAAGGTGGAATCCATTTTTAATACAATCCACAGGAAAATGTGATTTTTTTTCCCACCCCAAAGAAAATCTAATATGAACAAGAGGACAATGAGAAGAGAAAGAACAAGGCAGTAAGAAGAAAGGAGGAGGTTATAAAAGACTGGAGGGAAGGCAGAATGAGAGAAAAAAAGATGAAGGATGAAGAAAGAGATCTGGTCGTGATATACATATCAGTA